GCATCAAGTAGCATGTGAAAGAGCAGGTATGATCCTGATAGCAAGTTCAACAGCAAATACACTGCAGTACTTTAAAAAGGTATGCCAATGCAGATATTCAACAGACATGAGTTTTCTAACTCCAGCTGTTTATAAATCCCTGATCAAAACCATACAAGTAGCAGTCTCCAATCTCCACCAGTAAGCAAATGACTCATGATGGTCAAGGTATTGTGATATTGCTGTAAGCCATACACTTTTTTTTTTTTTTTTTCCCTGGTCAAGATCCTCATGAGAAAGTCTTGCAGGCACGCTGCAAATTAACTATCAACTGGATACCAATGATACAGAAATACATTACCACACTGGTCATCCCTAAATCTCTCTGAACTTCTGTTTTTCAACAGACAACCACCTAGTAAGCAACAATATCGAGATCTCCTTTTTATATACTAATACTTGATTACTTGGGTTTTTTCAAGGCTTTTCTGTAAAACAGTGAAATGGGGACATCACTGCACTGAACTTCAAGAGCCATTTTTGGTTTTACAGAAAAATAGTAGTTTGCTTTGACTTTCTGATTTACTTCCCACCCATTTTCAAACAAATATTCATGTAGAAAAATAAGGATGTGTTATACAAATGTATATAAGGATTGTCATCTTCCACACTGCTCTGGGAGAAGGCTGTTCTTTTGATCCCCATATCTGCACTAAAGAGGCGTCAGTTCAGAAATCTCCAAACACAATAACCATTGCATTTCTACCTAAGATATTTTATTCAAAGTTATGATTTGCCTCTCATTTAACATAACTAGGGTTTCACTATAAGCAAAACTTGGCCTCATTTTCATCGTCTATGCCATAGGCAGACAGGCTGTTGAGACACTTCTGCTCTAGCAAATCCTGTGAGCTATATGCTTGAAAGCCAACATGGTTCTCCTTGCCATCTCTACAAGTCCAATAGTCCTTCATTTCTTAAAAGTCATTCCCCCCATCAATCAGTGATGCAGTTCTCTAGCTGAAGAGTGCCAACGCTATCACTGATTCACCATCATGCATTCCAACATCTGGAAGAGCCAGAGGCCCCTGGTCTACACCAGGGAAAGCTTAACTGAAACCTCAACATGCACATCGTTTTTATTTAAACATAGCAAGTGTCAAAAACCAACATCATCATTACATGCCACGCTACTGTGCATCTCCAGTTCTCCTCATCTACGTAGTATGTGCAAATAAACTGAAAAAGACTTTGCATTCAAATAACACGGCCAAAGACAAGAACATAGACTGTGAACAGCAAACTGGAGTGGCACCAGCAATGCAGGCAGTCCTGCTGCTCTGAAGAGCTGTCCACTGTTGATTACTCAAATGTAAAAGACGACGACTATTTCTCTTGCCACTGAATGATCAGATGGCAGGTGCAACCACATCACCTTCCTTTCCTTTTTTTGAGAACTGTTGAAAACAGTTTAAACTATTCTTTACTATTTCAAAATGGAAACTTTGCAGCTTCTTATGAATTTGAAACCACTAGAAACTCCGCCGAAGATTTCAGCAGCCTGGTCATGAGGCAGCTCTCAGCAGTGCTCCACACATTGCCCTGGCTTCAAATACAAACTCTACTTGCAGATACAACTCTTGACCTAAACGTCTTGCATCCAAATCTTGTCTCTCACCCCAAACATTCTTCCCCACGGTACCTCTGCACCACCATGAAGAAATCTCTGATTTATGTGACATGTCCAGGACACCTCCAGTGAGAAAACCAATTCCGAAATTAATTTCTCCAAGCCCCCGCTCACCCAGCTTGGCAGACGCTTGATCTGCACCGAGCTGCTTTAAAGGCGTGTGAATTGCCAAAACTTTTGAAGACTGCGCATTACGAACTGTTTGGAAGACGACAGTTGTCTCGAAACGTCAGGCTGGCAGCAGTTACAGAGCTCTGCTTCGCCAGCTGACACCTCCGAGGCAGCGTTTTCAAGAGAAAAACCTGAAAAAGCAGCGCAGGGGATGGAGCAGCTTCTTCCGAACGGCCTCTGCCGCCATCCTCCGCCCTCGCTCCTCTCCCGGACGCTCTCGGCCAGGCTCCGCGCAGGGCACGAGTCCCGCGGCCGCTCCTCGCACCTGCCGCCCGCACACC